CTCTTAATTGTGTTTGTCTCACTCATGGTCGTTAGTACCCATAATTTCAACGAAGGTTTTCATTTGTAGCCATTATTTCCACTTCGCTTACTTTTCATCCTGCAAGATGAGATGCGCTGTAGTGGCGTCTTCATAAAAAGCATGCAAATAACTTCAGATTGATTAAGCTCGAAAATGCTAGATGTATTTTTATTAGATTTTGAGAAAAATGGTCAACTGCACACTTATTTAGCCTTACGAGAGACGGAATTTCGCCCCCAAATCCAATATAGGTTGTATGAAATTTGATTGATTCTTCCATTAATTATTGTCCGGGCTTATTTTAGCATATCGAAAATGTTTACCAAAACTCGTTCACATACTGATATGAACGAGAACCCAATCTGTAAGAAAATTGGGTGACCACTGATAAATTGGCCGATGGGTTACTGAAAATAAAAAGAAGACTGATAGGATCTGTTGCCACAAATTAGTGACTCAGTGACGGTTAGTATATGGTATAAAAATTTTATGTTCTGTACTTGAGTGACGCCAAACCACTGTACAAATGACAACACCGAACGTTAGACTCCCACCGTTCAAAAATAAGTAGACGGAAGACGTTGGAGAACACTTATTAACAGAATCAAAAATATACAATCAAACATGCGTATTTATACAATTATACGTATAATCGATATTGTCGTTTAAATATTTGAACATTAATCAAATAGTTCATCGATCGACTGCCCTTGAAATATTTAAGCATTTAATAAATATGTTCATCAATCCACAATGTGTGTGGCTTTCTTCTCGATTGGCTATCCCAATACCTCCACGGAATAAGATTTTTTCTTGAGTCCACTTGTAGTCTTACGACTTGTTTGCGGTGGCGTTCCATTCTGGTTGTAGTTTTTCGAGTTAGTGTCTCCGACCTTCTCTTTTCTTCGGTATTTAGGGACAAATGTGTAGTTGTCGGTTCTGTAATCAACTCCAGCGGTAGATTTACGCGATTATCACCCGAGCGTACCATTCTTTCGTCCTTTCGCAGTTGGTTCGTGTGTCTAACACAGCTTCCAAAAGCTCCTGTTATTCGATACAAAACTCTTCCTAGTCTTTGGACGACGGTTCCTGGTTCCCATTGATTTTTTCCCAGATATGATTTTAGGAACACTTAATCGCCAACGTTGAAGCTGCGAATATTTGGACTTGGCCTGTACCTACTCACTCTTTTAGGGGGCAATATCGCGTTAAAAATAGTGCTTCTGTTATCCGTTAAAAATCTAGTGATTACTTGGCTAGTTGGCCCCTCGTCTCCCCCTTTCAGTAAAGCTCTTTTGAAGGTGTTTACGAAGCGTTCTGCTTGTCCATTGGATTGGGGATGGTAAGGTGGGGATAGTAGATGCGTTTTGCCATTTGAACTGCAGAATCGCTTGAATGAGTCCGCAACAAATTGTGATCCATTATCAGTTACAAAGGTTTCTGGCACTCCGAAACAACTAAATAAGGTAGACAGCTTCTGAATAGTTTCTGAGGCTGTACAATTCGGCATGTTGTATATTTCTGGCCATTTTTCTACGCATCTACAATAATTAGAAACATTTTACTTTGGATTGAGCCAGCGAAATCGGCGTGACTTCTCTCCCAAGTTCCAGTAGGTTTCTGCCATTTCTGAGGCTCGCATTTCGAACGGTTTTTTGCGGCTTGTCAGCACGAAAGGCAGTTTCGGCATTTAGATTCTGTTCAACTACTGGTAGAGAAGCATAAGGTACAGGTCCTTTTGGTGAAAAAACAGGAATAGCTGTTGACTTGAGAGTCAGTAGTGCTTTGGCTTTCGTACATTCGCCCAACGCTTCTGAAGATATTTGATGATGCCTTTTTAAATGGCATTTCTCAGACTTGACTCCAAAGGGTTATTGATTCTAACTCGGCTGCAGATGTTGTTGATAGGATGGTCTGCTAATTTTAATGCATCTATCAGATCCAACCCCAGTAAATCAAGGTTCGGGTTCTTAGTTAAGTATACAGTTGCACTCGTTGTTGCCTCATTTTTTGAAACAGCGAAATTAGATCAATTCTGTCCATGATAAATTCACCATACCATAAGCTAGCTGTACACAAAGAATATAAAATTCTATTTGCAAGGTAAAGCATATACAGAAATCGATGGAGTGGCAATGGGAAACCCTCTCGGACCTGTTTTAGAAAACAAATTCATGGGAATGATCGAAAGGCAAGTGAGTCACTTCATCGATGGTATTACGCTTTACAAACGGTATGTCGACGATATTCTTGTCATATTACCGCATTCTGCACAGCAAAATTAGATCTCCAAGATAGGTAGTCGGAATGGGTATTCTTATGTGGTGTGAAGTTATGAAGTCACAAATAAATTCCACAGTTTCTTCGAGAGGTACATTTGTGAACAAAGAGTTTACATCGAAGTTGTGACATGTCATCATCACGATATGTCGACGATATTCTTGTCATATTACCACATTCTACAGATATTAGTGAAATCAATGATTTATTTAATGCAATTCACCCGAATCTGAAAGTCACTTATGAGGAAGAAAAGGATAATGAACTAGCCTTCCTCGATATCCTGCTCCATCGCCGTCCAGACGGATCAATCAGACGAAAAGTACACCGCAAACCCACCTGGTCGGGACAGTACCTCCACTTCACTAGTTTCTGCCCCATACAATATGAACGTTCTGTTGTCAAAACTTTATTCGCTCGAGCAAGTAGAATCTGCACTGCCGATACATTGAACGACGAATTCAAGCTTATTACTGAGACACTTAAATCAAACGGATATCCCGAAACGTTTATTGGTCATCAGAACACAACTACGACGAAGCTGATAGCAACTGATGTACCCAAGAAACCAGTGTACCTACAGTTACCTTTCAAAGGTAATCATTGCATGAAAATTACAACCAAACAGACTGCAGGTGCAATAAAAAAGACCTTCAATGCAGCTAATCTGAGGCTTATCACAACAACCCAATCGATCTCAGTTACCCCAATGAAGTCTCCAAGACCGATTCAGTCCAAATCCCACTGTATTTACCAATTCACATGTAACTGCGGAGAAAGTTACTTAGGGAGGACAGATCGCCGATTGGAAGACAGGATAGGGGAACATATTCCAAAATGGCTAATCAAATCCATGATTCACCAACCTAGCCCATCATCTCAAAATCGATCAAGAAACCCAGCCTCGTCCATTGCAAAACATCTAATGATGAGTGGTCATTAAATTGACCCAAAATCAGCCTTTAGAGTTGTGACATGTAATCAAAACCCACACATACGGAAACTACTCGAAGCTATCTTGATTGGTCGGAAAAGTCCAACTTTATGTGTTCAAAAACAACTGTATGTTGACCTTTGTTTACCATGGTTATAGTGAGTAAATGTCATGCTAAATAAGAAATTTTGACCTTATCTTCAAAACTGTATTTACACAGATAACATGTTGCTTGTATGTGACTGACGAGAAAGCACGAAATGGTACTATCTCACAAAATATGTCTTCTCATTTCGCTATTCAAATATACACATGTTGATTAAATTTGATACTTAATATGGCTACAGCCATATTTGCATTTGATACTCTAGCAGTAACGGACTGGAAGCACTTATTATTTCAGCAACGAAACCTATTGGTGTAATTGGAAACTCGAAGGTATAATATTGTTTTGAACCGTTCTCTCCCAGAATTATCGTTTTTGGACTTGGACTGGGCGAGACGCCTATGAACCTACACCTTGCAAGTTAAAAGCGAACTGCAAGAGTAAAATATTAATTAACACCCATAACAAGGTGGTAAGCTAGAACATAAGAAGCGTTTGAATAGAGTTTGTATATGATTGCACCACGATGAAGTGTAAAACCATTCCATGAGGAGTGTATCATCAACTACGTATGGACCTTGTGAGGTTCATCTTCGGAAACACAGATAATGAAATATCAAAGTTTACTAGTACCCTAAGCTGGAAAGCCTTACGCTGTCAAAAATGCATCTTTAGGCCAGTTTGACATCGTAAGTTTCTGTTTCATTTCTGAATTTTATTTGCCCTAGATTAGAATGCGGGGACAAACTGTCTTTATAATTCACTGAAAAGGGTGGGAATGCTCTGACACATCCAAAGTTTATCTGTTTGTCTAGTTTTTGGGCTTGATTTCAAGACTGATGGAAAACTTCCTAAGACCCTAAATTGACGTTTTCATGACCTTTCAGTGGCAATCGAGTTGAGATTAACTATGCCCACTACTAAATATTAATTACGAGCCCATCACTGATAAGAATATTAAATCCATGTTACTGTCTATATTTGCTTGCGATTTCGCGGTATCTAAAGTATGACGAAATGAAACCAAAAACCGGAGCGAAATAAAAGAGACAGTGAAGCCGAAATGGCAGTAACATAAACGGAATGTTTGCGCGAACAAAGTGAAGTAGAAAAAAAGTACAGTAAAACAATTATTGATACAATTGGTTCCAATAATTAATGTGTGTCTATTCAACCAATCGCGTTCTCTTCATATAAGTAGATCCACCACAACCTAAGGTATCTCAAACATCCGCTGAGATACTTTTAACCAACTTCTTTGATTCGACTGAAAAACAAATCTCATGGGGCAATATTAAAACACGAATTACAATGCAAAAGTAGTATTTCTACTTCTTATGAAGTTGTCATAAGAATATTTCCAGGAGTACTTCGGGACAGATCTTGACATATTGTGATTACAGAGGACAGCATTTCATTCTAACTCGGAAAGTACCAAAAGAAAAGGAATCGACTGCAAAGAAATCAAATGGTTTACATTAGCTCGTAAAAAGATATTGTATATTGTACTGAAATTTAGGTTTTTTTCATAGAATATTTCAGCATCCTTAAGTTTAGACATAGACACTATTAGAAAAGTAAGCCTATTGAATGAAAGTTTTTTTTAATTTCTTTAGCAACCATTTAAACAGTTAGAAGTGTACCCTAAGGTGACAAGGTCACGATAGTTATACATTCACGCTCAACCGCTCTATTTGGATGTCTGACCCTGCGTTGTGGACACCTCCGGACTCACCGGAGTTTAAAGGAACAGGTGCTATATTTTCTGAAGAATTAGACATAGACCTATTGTCTGGAGTAGACTGTATGTATAGCTAGAAATATCAGATCGTTTCAGTTGATATACAACAATCATTACCGTTTCTAGGTTTATGTTGTGATACAGTGAATCCAATAATGTTTTTGTCGTATGTTTTAAGGTTTAAAGGTTAAAATTTCTAGAAAATTTGAAAGAATGCCAGTTGTTCTTCATTGGACTGATCCACAACAGATTTTATGCTTACTGAGGTAACATCCGAAACATAAGTTTACATTGAATGCAGAAACAGAGTAGTCTTACTGAGCGAACCCCCCCTTGAGTCTCATTGGGATTCTGCAGGTAAAGTTTTACTAGTTTAATGCCTTTCTAGTTCTTAGGAACGATATTTCATTCCTTCTATTGTCGATGTACTCCTCCATAATGTAAGAATATCATATCGTCTATAGTCTTCCAGGGAACAAGAGATTGAAAAGCATACAGTGGTACAATTGGTGAGCTGCATCCGCTCCATCTTGGGTTTTCTTGGACCATTTGCAAATTTCCTGAAAACAAAAGTATTTTTATGTTTCTCACCGTCAAACTAGGCAAACAAAAATCTCATGCACTCTCATCTCGAAATATGGCTAACAGTACTAAAACTCTTTAATTTCCTTTGCTGCAAAGCAGGTAATTGCATTCATTTGGATTAAATAATGGTAGATTATCTGGCAATTATAAATGAGACACTGGGGTTAAAGCCGCACAGTTCTGTAAACGCGTGCGGTTACTTTTTGGATATTGTGTTGGAGAATTTAATACTTTATTCAGGATTGGTAACTGCTTGATAAAATGTTACTAGTGCTTAGAATAACTCGCATAGGTGCTCTTGTGATACATTGTTATGGATTCTCATGATCGACTTCGTTGGAAAGGCATGTTTGTTTTCAATTTTATATTGGATTTTAATCTTATGTTTTCTATATTTTATACTACAGTAAAAAATATTTCTAGCCCACGATACTCAATGCTGTCAGCAATACTCATCAATAAAAGTGTTTACGAGTGTCTGGGTACTTTACATCTAGCCTATATGTATTCTCAGTGTTATGACCACCTTAGAAACAACAAAAGATACAATTGTATTAATGTTCTATGGCATATCATTTGTCAATTTTTATAAGTCTCAGTTGTGTTTGAAATTTGCAATCTGAAAGTCTCAAATAATCGGCTTTTTTCAAATGTTGGTACAGAATTCGCCTCACAGTTTAGTCTAATGAGTAGTGAGGATTTTTAGTTTACCAATTTAACTAACATACGGGTAGATCAGTCGCTAGCACTCGGATAAACACTAAATCATATAGTGCTTCTTTTGTCTTAATACAAAACAAAGTTTGTAGTCTTAGAGTATTGTATCACATTGATTCAAGGGCTGGAGTGCTACCATCAAATCAAAAGACGTGAAAGTCAATTGTAAAAACACTAGTGTTCTGGAACTTCACATAAGATAGTTTCTGTACTAATAATATTTCGGGTAGTCAGTTACAGAGTTAGAAGTTGCGAGTGTTTGACCTTGGATGTCTTTATAGTTTTGTTCACTTGTGATGGGACCATTTAGCCACATTGGTATTGGGCACATATTGTGTAACTGTGATAAGTTCGTTGATAGAATTGCGAACATTGACCAAAGGTTTTGGGACACATGATACATCTGAAATGGTATCACTATGGCGTGATATGCTAAATAGCGTGGGAGTATGTTTGAGAAGTCTTACCATACCAAGACTAAAACATTTTCACTTTACAAAGTCACTGGATGTTAGTCAAAGCCGTACAGAAAGGTGATAGTTTTAGTACGTTATTCGAGGTTGCATCGTTCAAGCGTCAGTTGTAGTAACGTAAATACAATTAATATTGTCTGTCCCTAGTATTCAGTCAGTCAGTCGTCAAAAACATAAAACTTTGTACGTACGTACATCAGTTTATAGCGAATTGAAGCTATATCACGCCAATAAACAGGTTCAATACCGTCGGAGGCAGAAATCAAAAGACCAGCTACGATTGGAGTTAAGGTATATTTACTGGAGATCTCGTATTATCGAAATAATACCAAGATCAGACCGCAATATACGAGCGAGGCTATCAAGCTACGTAAGTAAACCCAAGATCAATGAAGAAGTAAGATGTGTGTTCTGGGTACAATTAAACAAACGAGATCAGTAAAATAATCACTGGTACAATGATTTGTAATCATGAATGTTTGTATTTGACTAATCGCGTTCTCTTCTTAAAAGTGGAGTCGCTAAAGTTCAACTTGCCATACTACATTAGCAGAGATGTCATTGTCACTTCAAGTCCCATAGTAGTAGTATTAACAGTAATCAGGAATATTAGGGTTCGACGATATTATTGAATAAGCAGAATCTAGTGAAATAAACCTAAAACGATAAAGGTGATGAGGAATTCAAAAGGTTGGGATTTGAGGGAATACAAAGAAATAATGCACCTGCACTACTGCAAACGGTTTTGAGCCATGTCATTCAGGTTCTCTAACCATCGATTACTATCATCTCGCAGGCCGCAACCAGGTAGTCAACACAAACCAACATGGCTCAGTCCACTTGTCAGTGACTTCATGGATGTGTCATGTTTTGATCTGGCCGCCCCTAACTTTCTTCCAACTTACTCCTACACCACAAAACATGGCTCGTCCAGGCAGTCGGTGGTTGGGCATTCGTAACACATGTCCCAACCAGCTCAACTGATGAAGTCTCAATACTTCATCTATTGGTTGGCCACCCTTACCTAGGACCCATTTCCTAACGACAGCATTGCTTACTCGGTTGTTTGATGGTACACAAGCAATGCTTCGAAGACACCTATGATCAAAAACCAGCAACCAACGAACGTCCTCTAATCTTACTGGCCATGTTTCGCGAATCGCTGCGCAGTAGACTCATCCTTTAGTCAGCAAACGGATATCTCGCCTACACCTTAACTGATGCAGGTCGGCAAATGCCAGACATATTCTCTGATTTTTTCTGTTCCTTCCATCACTTTCGGTATTATTGTTTTCTTCCATTTTATCTCTTTGATTTTCCTTCAATTTATTGATGTGAATTGCTTCAACTTAGACTGCTTGTTGTTTGCTCATTCGGGATCTAATCCACGCACCAACTTCGTCATTGTCATTGAACTTACAAAGCAACTTTCAGGTGCTGATTGTAATGGGAATCATAAGCAATGACGGTAATCGCTTCTAGATCTTACACTCTTACTAACCGTTCTCTTATGCCAGAATATCAATAAAGTGTTTGTTGTCCAGTCAGTCAGTCAGATGCAACGTAGAACTTCGTACGTAAGTACATCAGTTCATGTCGCCATACCACATCAGCACAGAGATGTAATTGTCAATTCAAATCCAATAGTAGAAGATGTAGTAAAGGTATTAGTAATCGGAGAGGTTAGGATTAGAAGATATTATTCAAGAAGTATGATTTAATGAGAAAAGTTTAGAAAGTCAAAACTAGAGTTGTTGAAGAATCCAGAAGATTAGGATTTGAGAGAACACAAAGCATAAATGCACGGGCGACATTGCGAACGATTTTGAGCCATGTCATTCAAGGTCTCTAACCATCGATTATTATCACGGATTTCCGTCTCCTTGGGTAAGACCCGACCGTAGCTGCTACCTTAACGTGGTGGTCGGCCTTGCCTATCGTGATGACCCAACCGAGCTATATTGGCTGGAACTTATGTTCCTGAAGGTTCTACCTTGCCAGGCAGGTCGATTGGAGAGCGATGAGACTAAAAGCAGCTACTCACGGTCTGAGGGCGAAGTCGTACTGCTGACTGCAGAGAGGTGTGACAGCAGTAAGGTGTTTCCCTCGGACAACCAGCATCTGCAGCGATGCTGCCTTCTCACAAGTAAGGAAGGGTTAGAAATGTTTGACACTAAAAATGTCACACCTCACCCTACCTCACGGATTTCCGTCTCCGTCGGTGCCCACTATGGGCTTTCAAGAGCGAAGCTAACACTCAAAATACCTTTCATAAAAAGGCCGTGCGTGACCGGTCTCAAGCAGTTGTCCCTCGGACTCTGCGGTCACGCTCCCAGGTCTCCAAGACCAACACTAATCTTCTTTTCATGTCCCTCAAGAAACAACCTTCCACGGTGTGGGCAGCCGGGAAGTGACAACCGCCTTCATACCCGTAACAGCACGAGAGACCAATCTGGTCGAAATCAAATCCTTCCTACACCCACACATACCTCTCTTCTCTCCACAAGTAACTCTACTCACATTCCCTTGTTGTCCAGTAGTTATGGAGTTTAATTTTGTTATGAATAATGAGACTAGAATATTCGCACTGTCTTGCCTTTGTTTTCCCCAAAATGTATAATTACAAAGCTGAGTATGTTTATCGTGAATATTTTAAGTTTTTCACGGCTTATCCTTTCAGTCAAACATTTGAATTTTCACATTAATCTTTAGACTCAGAAAAACTGGTTCAAATTTCTCCACGGGAAAATGCTAAAATTAAACACTCAGCAGAAAGCGGAAGTGTCTGGTATGTGAAATTAAATTTTGCAAACCTATGGTTGAGTTCTATCATCGATTAAGTCTGCAACGTGTTTGTTTAGTACACTATTTATTCTTATCATAAACCCAGGGCTATCATAAGTTTGTGATTTTTGGTAAATCGTACTACTACTACTTTATAGTCACTTTGAGAATATTCATTGGTAGATTTGTGTTCACCTTCAAATATGGGTTTTATTTCCCTGTGAATGAGTGGTAGGCAGTACGAACAGATTACATAACAGTTAAGTTTAATTGGTGTTAGTTGTTTAATTTATGAAACTTTTTATGCAATAAACAACTTTTTTAAACGTTTGTATAGTAATACATACCAAGTTTCGGAGCCACATCCCACAGAATTCCTAACTTTGGTACCAGAAACTGATATGTTAGTTCTTGAGCAGTTATGCTTTTAAAATCACTAATATTGTGTACAGCCTGTAATGGTTGCATTCAAAGTGTATGGGAAAACATCTGAATCGAAAACTCATTGGTTTTGATGTACCAATTTACACTCTCTTTGAGTTATTTGTTTTTATGTTTGGGTTAATGCTTTTTATTCTAAAATGATCTTCACATTATTTAACGGTTAATTTTTTCCTGTGCATCGGAAGTTACGGTATGTAACAATCTAATTTCCTTTTATTTTAATTTTACCAGAATTCAATACTTTAGAATGTATCCGTCCAGATTTCAAGTCCTACTTTCAGTCCTCCAGTTTAGATATTCCCCACCAACCCCTCACTGTGTGGTCTTTGTATTGGAATGTACTTGCATACACTACTCCCATACACAGTTTATATGCAGACTATACAAATCAGTCTAAGGTATTTCATTCACTCTTAGTTTTGTTAACTTACTGATAATTGATTATATTCATCTTAACTTCTCTTAGACGATCATTCATGTACTGTCTCCCGCAATAGACGTACTTCTCTTTTTAGACTTATACGGTAGGATAAACGTTGTGTCATGTAGGTGAATCATACATTTTAGACTGAGTTCGAAAACAAACATCTTCAAGGTAACACTGTTTCTTTCTCAATTTCTAGATTTTAATACATTCAACTCTAAATATTTAGTGCCCATGATTTAGGAACTCGATTGAAAGATCTAGTAAAATTGTTCATTGAAAATTTATTTCACGGTCAAATTCGTATAATAGATCCATTTATAACAAGATTTTGTTACATCAAAAGACCTAATACTCAGTCGAGAATTTTAGAGCTCATATCCCTTCAAACGTTTTGGAAAAATAAAAGAATTATAATTTACTTACCATGTTGGTGTTTTACTGGGTATGATATGCTGATACGAGGTCCATAATTCAACATGGGTTTTTGCACCATGTTCCGATATAAGGTTTCATGATGCATTAGAAGCGTGTGTACTTGGTTTTGTTGTTATTTCAAATTTTATGTGGTTCTCATAGAGCTTCGAACTCGTCATTTATTCATAATAGAGATCACAATATTTTTTCACTAGTCAAACAATCGTTTGAATACCTCTTTCTTCTTTTTTGTATCAAGATTGAGTTTGGGGCATTACAAAATTATTCCATCGTAATCTGGTTGATTCGTCAACAGTTCTTAGGAGTACGTTCAGATACTGTATTTTCAGGATAAGTTTGCCTTAAAATGTGATTAAATGTAACAATTCAATCAGATATTATATTTTATGTGTGATAAATAGAAATATTTTTAAGCAAGGTATATTACGTGCATTAATTTATTAAGTAGTCTAACATTAATTAGCGTAGACAGGAAGTTACACAGGTAATTGAACAGTTTCTCCAAAATTGTAATAGAGCTATACGAGCAGAGTGGAACACACCACGCCTACAAACAGAGTCTGATCCTCAACGGAAAGGTCATGTATGAATGAAGAATTTTACCGATAATATTTAGAATATTGTAGCATTTCAATTAGCAAACCGATAGGAAAATAATTTAGTAATAGTTAAAACGGAAATACACGATATATAATAATAATTTAAAATCAATTGGCTTTGACTAAAGTAATAAATTCTAACCAAAATATGATTGTAGAGGATCTAATATTCAAGAAATGGAGAAGTTTACGACATTTCTTTTTAAGTTTGGTGAATAACGCTTGACTTTTAGAGGTTAAACATACCGAACTACTAATACCCTTGTATGATGGTTAGTTTACATAATTTTTTGCTGTCTACTTTGTTTTGATTGGGTGTCATTGAACTTAAACGTTCATTCAACACTACCTAGTTTCTCTCAATACGTCAAATATTTGTTGATTATATTATAGTTGGGGGCTAGCATTTAAATCCACGATGCGCGTTTATCTTGTCCTGAGCCTCTTCAATTGCTTATACTCGCTTCTTAGTTTTGATATTCCAATTAAAAATTGGACAACACTCTTGCTTCAGATGCTAAAAAGTTTATTTCCTATTATTTTAGCTATTACTGAAATTCCTAGGTGGCTTTTAAAGTTATAATAAATAGGGTACACTTTCTGCATGTAAGGGGACAGTAATTCCTTTTCATCTGAACTTTTTTGATATGTAAGATTATAGCTGTTGGGTAGGTTAGATCCTCAGAAATCTCTAGGCAAACTTCTTAATTTTTTAATATGTTTTTGCAAATTTGAATTTCTTATTTTTGCGCCAAAGGTACTTCTTATTACCTTTAGCTGTGTTTCCCGCTCGAAAGGAAATTAAACCTCATTGATCAGTTTTCGCTTTTTGGTGCGCCATTTTGTACCTTTTCCAAGGACTCTTTTTGTACTGTATATATTACGTTTGAATTTAGTGCTTTGTATTTTTTTTTCTCTCGGTGCTGGTTCTAGATTATATCATTTTCCGACTGACTTCGGACGTCCTTCTGGCCTAGGCTTCAGAGATTAGATTACCTGCCTGTTATTGTATCACTGGTTTACGTTCCGTTTGCCAATATCACATTGTATCCTAATTAGCACGAGCATAGCAGTAGCTTACTGATTAGCGCTTAACTTCCGGTCACTGGGTCTCAATTACCCACCTCATCCCCTCCTTTTAATAGGAAACAGGGTAATATGGCCAGTCCTGAAGCAGATAGTTCAAAATTGGCGTCTTGGAAAACTCGATTTAATGGAAACTGAGTTCCTTACCACTTCTACAGAATTCCATCTTCATAACACCAAAAAATCCTACCTACTCTTCATAACACCAAAGTAATCATATGTATACGATATGATGAATTTAAAACTAGTTTCTCTGTTTATTTTGTAGGAGGCTACTCCTACCGATAGAGAAGTTCATATCTGCCTTACAAGTTTACTTCGCTTATCTGAAACACGTGGAATAAATTTAGAAGTAGTCCGATCTTTATGGTTGTATTTCAAAAGTCAGCTAGTAAGTTTATTTTCAAGACTTCCATGATTTTTTTCTGTTGAAATTATGTAGTTAGTCCAAACGTTTAAACCCATATTTTCCTTTTATTAGCTAGCAAACTTAAACTGTACTATTTATATAACTTGCCTTGTATATCTTTATTTCACAAAATTTTTATTTAGAACACTGGATTTGATATTTCAAATTCATCTTCAGGTTTGCCTACGCCTTGTATGAGGTAAGTAGATGAACTCACTTTGTGATACTCACTACCTTTTGGTATTGAAATTCAAGTTCTAGAGTCTTTGTATTCATGTCAGTATCATTTTGAATTTGTTGTGTAATTACTAAAAGGCTGTTTCACCATATTTTTATTTAATTACTACTAATAAATCGAATTGAATTTGATTTTAGACTATAAACGTAGTAGGGATCATAAATCAAAAACAAATAAATATTTCAGTTCATTAATTGCGCGATATAAAATTGTTAGATTCTGTATCTTTGATTTGTCTGTTTCTTTAATGTATATTGTCTTTTTAAAGTGGTGTTAGGATCAAGTGTGCACATAAGTGTGAGTAGATTTCTAGATTAGTCATCAGTCTTGTTTGGCTTTACATACACAATTTTCAGCAGTGTTCCTTACTCTTTGTGACCGCACTTCTGAACTATTATACGCTGATACATCCTAGTTTGACATACTATGTCTTATTTAAAACGTCTAGCAGAAAATTATGAAGGCTACAATTTCTGTGCTACTGTAATCAAGTGTCTTACGTTTTCATTGTGACTTGAAATCGTCAGACTAGTCTAATTCTCTCATTTAATCTCAGACGGAACACTGCTTTTAAAGGTTGATAATCGTTGGTTGTAAACAGCAGCTTTCTTGATGAGCTTATTAATTGAAGCTTGTTACCCTTCCTGCGGTATAGGCCACCAACCTGACATCTCTAAGAACACTGTCCTGGTCTCTTCTCGTCAAGTGATGTCTGTGTTCTCGTCTCAATATGTTGTTTGGTCTGCCGCTGTTCTTTTCCCTTGGGTATTCGACGTTAGGGATTGCCCTGAGATACAATGTGGTGGCTTCCAGAAAGTGTGTTTTATCCACCCTGACATATTTTTCTAGCTTCCTCTTAAACTGACAGCTGGTTTATTCTCTGCCAGAGCAGATTATTATTACTGGTCTCTAACCAGTGGATCTGGAGTTATTAGGCTTCGGAAGCCAGTTACAAATAGTTGCGCATTTTTAGTGATGGTTTTAGTGGCTCTTCAAGTCTCAACTCCACACAATAAAACTACTTCAATGTAGGTTTTGGAAACTTTAAATCTGATTCTAGATGACTTTCAAGTCTCAGAACCTCTTTGATTGTGAGAACGCTACACTTGCTTTGCCAATTTGTGCCTTTACTTCAGATCCTCCTTGGTTATCAGTAATGCTGACCAAGTACATGAAGACTCTTCATCGAGTGTGATTTGGTTGGTGGCCACTGTGTTCTATTTCGGGATCTAGCCTATCTTTTGTAAATGTTGAAGCCTATGTCTTCAAAAGCCTCTGTTACCATGGCTGTCTCTGTCTTCACTTGTTGCTTTGTATATGATACGAGGACTGAGTTACCTTCAAAGTCAAAATCATCCAAGTGTGTTCAACAGGTCCACTGCATTCCATGCTGTTCCCGAGATATGAAGGTCTTAATAAGCAAGTCAAAAACCAGAAGAAGTAGAAAGGGTGAAAGTAGACATTTTATGACACTAGACCTCACTTGTAATTCATCTGTGAGCTGTTTTTCATGTCCGACTTTGCAACTCAGTCTGTTGTATGGGTTCCGTATGACAGTGACGGTCTTCTCAGGCACTCCATAATATCGGAGAAGATATTAGATTTTCCTGTGGATGTTGTCTAATGCTTTCTCACGACTAAGGAAGTCAATGTACATTAATGAGTTCCATGTAATTGATCAATCAACAGTAATTCTCAGGATCACGATTTCAGTCAGTTGCAACGCAGAACTTGATACGTACGTTCCAATTTGGTCGGTATAGGATCGGTTTTAACGAAATCCAGCTTCCTAAGTGTCATTTCATTTGCTTCAGCAACACTATTGAAAAATTTGCCTGGTACTAACAGTAATGTGACACTCCTGTAGTTCTCACACACAGATCTTTGATATGTTGAAAAGGTATCCTCATTTCCAGTTGGACGATACCTGTTGTCGCTCTCAGATCTTTCTGAGGAAAATATACAAAATAATTGCATTCTCAATATCTGGATTTGGTGCTTTAGCTGATCTGCTGTTAATCCCTGGTACTTTGCTATCTTTCTAGTTTGGTCATAAAATCGTTAAGTCAAAAGCGAATCCGGATTTGATTTCATCATTATGTCCTTAGTTTTTCTGACGAATTAACTTTGTCATTTATATAAAAAACATTGAAGATGCAAATCCTTCATTTAATCTTGTGGAATACCAACCCAATACCGAGTTGGGTTGATTGTCGATTGGCTGTAGAATTTTGGCTAATCGATTAGCAGTATGATGGTTTATCCGATGAAAGCTTTGCTAACGCTTCAATTTTGTCACAAAAACAAGAAAGTGTTTTCTAGTCATTCACAGAGAAGTTTGTTTTATAAAAGTCACTCATCAGTGATAATCTACACAAAGCCAGTAACTTCTTTCCCCAACATTCTACCAACCACATGCATGTTTACGCTCCAATACCCATTGACTTGACTGACTAATTTATTTTGAAAATGAATAAGTACATATTGTGTTAATATTTTGTATATATTTTTTATACAATATCGTAATGTTTGGTTTCCAATTTTTATTTCTTTTCAACTTGAAGTTTCAGATCTTGGTACAATAAAGTGAAACCAGTTAGTGAAGTTAGGCAGTAAGTTAATTTTTTATTATAACTATGAATGTTTTTTTAATACCAAAAATAGAATTCTAATACAATTACACTGGTTTTTATAAGGTTTTAACATAACTCCCTGATTATTTCCTTTAGGTCTACCAGAATATTATGAAAATGCAGTAAAAATCTAGCAACTTAATAAAGCCATTGAATAGAGTCTACCATTTTTATCTAAAGTGATTATATTAAAATATTTAGTGGTTTAGGTTGAGAATTCGCAAATGATTCATTTAAATTGACGTTTACGAACCATAACAAGAGAATTGAATTTATTTTTCTTGTTTTGTTTAAGCTTCATTGTATGATTTATTATATCTTCATTTAGAAATTTTTCTATGTTTTGTGAACTGCTTCGAAGACTATCTTCATCGGACACTGAAGAGTTGTGTACAGTGTAAGTAATGAATTTTCATGTACTGTACTGAATACAAATGCAATCTTTAAAACGAATGATTGTCGCATAAATGGTACCAACAAACCGTGACCTCTCATTGATTCATTTAGTGTCTCAAACTTACTAAGTCCGAAATCTTATGGTTCTTGTGTACAAAATAAAAATAACGCTAATACTACCATAGTAGCCTTGATGTGATAAAACAATTACAAGACTAGAACTATCCCAAAGACATCATAATATAAGTTGCATACCTATTAATCATATTTCCAAATTCTTGGGAAGATTTTTTATTTTACACGCATTACTGGTAAAAGTAGGAGGAACTTGTTAAAATATTTTTTTCACTGAATGCTTCTTGCTGCACCAAACATATGGTGATGAACAAAGTAATCAGTGTTACTCATGGTACGAGTATCTTTGTCTTGAAAATCCTGCTTTAGTTTTGTAAAGTCTTATAATCAGTCATGGATTTTAATGTTCAGTTTAGACTGTAGATGAATGCCGTCTTCTGATGGTTTGACCCAAATTTGCGCATAATCTTTACCTATTTATGCAAAAGAAAGTAACGACTACTAAACAATTTAATTGAAATACTTGTATTCACATATTGAATCACAGTGATTTTTCAGTTCTCGCTGTAGATAAGTATTTGATATTTTTTCAAAGACACTGAAAATGTTCACTATTATGATGATGTAGACTGTATTGTTTTGTGGTTTAATCACCCACAACTTCAGTTTTCAACTATTCGATATCCCAAATGGTTCACTGAAGTGTAAAATGTAGGATTTTTTACGTGCTTCAGAACAATTTGATTACCGCTTTTTACACCGAAGTTCTTAAAAATTTTATTCTTGAAGTTTACAAACAATGCAATAGCTGGTAAATAAGAAACCACTTTTTAGTGACTTCCCCACTATTTTACACTTCCTCATAGTTTTCTCGTTTTATTTTTTAAACAGCTTAAGAATTCCATTGTTGTCACTGACTAAGCAAAGTATTTCTTACTATTTTTTTATATGGGTCAATTTGGTCGAAAAAGCCCTGGATATATTATTAATGAGTTCAGACATGGATGATAATAAAACATGTTTATTATCCCTAGTAAGTTAAAAATATTTTCGTTAATGTTAATCCGATGCCCATTACTTACTTACTTTTGCTGTTTCCCCCAATGGAGCATAGGCCGCCGATCTGCATTCTACAGATTATTCTGTTCTGGGCTTCCCTCTCCAGTTCTGTCCAATTTTTATTCATTCTTCTCATGTATGTCTCCATTACTCAGCGTAATGTGTTTCTTGGCCGCCCGCCTTTACTTTGATCATTAGGGTTTCAAGTGAGGGCTTGTCTTGTTACTTAGTTGAGTGCCTTTCGCAATGTGTGTTCTATCCACATCTAGCGCTTCTCTTGTTCTCCTCCGTTGGAATCTGGTTTGTTCTCTCTCACAGTGGGTTGTTGCTTATGGTATCTGGCCAACGGATCCGAAGTATTTTGCGTAGACAACTGTTAATGAACACTTATCTGCTCGATGATGGCTTTGGTAGTTTTCCGAGGCCCCGCCCCATACAGTGGAATTGTCTTGACATTTGTATTGAAAATTCTGACTTTTGTATTTGTTGACAGTTGTTTTGAATTCCAAATATTGTTCAGTTGTAAAAATTCACCCCTTGCTTTCCCGGTTCGCAACTTTACATCCGCATCAGATCCACCTTGCTCGTCAATGGTACTTTCTAGTTGCCTGTGGAACTCATTCTCTACGTCTTATCAAGACTTCTTACTCTGTTCGTGGAGCCTGGGACGTTCGGCTTAGAGTAGCCTGTTGTGTCACTGCATCTTTGATCTTCGTTCCGTTTATCGAGTAAGGTTAACTCGTAATATTTGCAAGCATATCAAATTGGCGACGGCGGTTTTTGAAACATGGATCCTTCCAAACTTGAATCAATACTTGAGCAACAGCTAAAAGTAATGAGGATTTTAACAGATGCCAAGGTTTCGCCTCCTATACAGCCTAGCTCATCTGATGCAACCACAGTACCATCAGTAGACGACATCGCATACGGTATTGCTGAGTTTCATCATGATCCTGATACCGACGTTACTTTTGACATGTGGTTCTGGCGTTATGAAGACCTATTTTTCTAGTTAAGATGATGCTTGGTATGTTCGGCTGCTACTTCAATTGTTGGATGCAAGTGAACTGGATAGGTACTGTAATTATATTCTGCCTTTGAAACCACGTGACCGCCCATTCTTAGACACAGTCCAGTCATTAGGCCAAAAGTTCGTCGATTTTCTTAGGCATGTGGGCACGGTCAACCGTGAGTGCGAAGGCTTCCGGTTGAAGTCTTTGACTGAACACCAGTTCAAAGCCCTCATCCTCATTTTCGGCCTCCAGTTCCCAAAGCTCAGTGACATGACAACACGGCTACTGGGTCGATCGGATCAAGATCCTAAACTCACCTTTAGTGACACTGCCAATGAGTATCAACGCCTCATTAATCTGCAGCGATTTACCACTATGGTTCTGAGTAGTGTAATCTGGTGAAATCCATCTAGCTTTGTTTATGCATTTGTGTACCCGACCGAAGCTGCTACCTTGACGTGGTGGTCGGCCTTGCCTATCGTGATGACCCAACCGAGCTATATTGGCTGGAACTTATGTTCCTGAAGGTTCTACCTTGCCAGGCAGGTCGATTGGAGAGCGATGAGACTAAAAGCAGCTACTCACGGTCTGAGGGCGAAGTCGTACTGCTGACTGCAGAGAGGTGTGACAGCAGTAAGGTGTTTCCCTCGGACAACCAGCATCTGCAGCGATGCTGCCTTCTCACAAGTAAGGAAGGGTTAGAAATGTTTGACACTAAAAATGTCACACCTCACCCTACCTCACGGATTTCCGTCTCCGTCGGTGCCCACTATGAGCTTTCAAGAGCGAAGCTAACACTCAAAATACCTTTCATAAAAAGGCCGTGCGTGACCGGCCTCAAGCAGTTGTCCCTCGGACTCTGCGGTCACGCTCCCAGGTCTCCAAGACCAACACTAATCTTTCTTCTTTTCAGGTCCCTCAAGAAACAACCTTCCACGGTGTGGGCAGCCGGGAAGTGACAACCGCCTTCATACCCGTAACAGCACGAGAGACCAATCTGGTCGAAATGTTACCCCCTTAGGCTTACCCCTAAGGATGGTGGTCCAGTTTTAACAGTTAGAGTGACCGAGATACTAGGTAGAATCTGGGAACCGGACGTAATCCCGTCTGACCGGTCTCAATCACTGATTGTCCCAATCTACAAGAAAGGACACAAGTCTTGTTGTGACAACCACAGAGGAATAAGTCTAACTAATATAGTTTCTAATTTGTTAGCCTCGATTATACTTAGACGTCTAACTAGAGCTCGTGAAGAGCAGACTAGAGAGAACCAGGCTGGTTTTCGACCTGGACGTGGTTGTATAGACCACATCTTCACACTACGACAGGTTCTAGAAGACAGACACACATTTAGACGTCCGACAGTAGTCGAGTTCCCAGACCTAAAAGCGGCATTTGACCCAGTGGATCGTGAGGTTGTGTGGCTGTGTCTGTCATTGAAAGATGTACTAAAGAAGTACAACAAAGCCTGTGGCGAACTGTCATCGGAATTCTCTACATCAAGTGGTCCCGACCGAAGCTGCTACCTTGACATGGTGGTCGGGCTTGCCTATCGTGATGACCCAACCGAGCTATACTGGCTGGAACATATGTTCCTGCAGGTCCTACCATGCCAGGCTGGTCGATTGGAGAACGATGAGACTAAAAGCAGCTACCCAAGGTCTGAGGGCGAAGTCGTACTGCTGACTGCAGAGAGGTGTGACAGCAGTAAGGTGTTTCCCTCGGACAACCAGCATCTGCAGCGATGCTGCCTTCTCAAAAGGAAGGAAGGGTTAGAAAAGGTCGGCCCTAAAAATGTCACACTCCCCGTAACTCACGGATTTCCGTCTCCTTGGGTAAGGGTGCCCACTAAGGGCCTTTAAGAACGGAGCTAATCCTCAAAAAACGTTTCATAAAAAGGCCGTGCGTGACCGGCCTCAAGCAGTTGTCCCTTGGGCTCTGCGGTCACGCACCAACACTAATCCATCTTCCTTTTCAGGTCCCTCAAGAAACAACCTTCCACGGTGTGGGCAGCCGGGAAGTGACAACCGCCCTCATACCCGTAACAGCACGCGAGACCAAATTGGTCAAAATCAAATCCTTCCTACACCCCCTCATGTCTCTCTTATCTCTACGACTAACTGTACTCACACTCCCGTTTCTCACTGCACCGCTAATGCAGACGAAGCGAGATCACGGAACGTCGTTCCTGGTCTCTTGAAACCCCGTTCTAGACTACATATTGGAGCTTTTAATGTACGGACATTGTGTCAAATAGGGCAACAGGCATCATTAGCTAGGACTTTAGAAACTCGTGCCATCGATGTATGCTGCGTCTCGGAAACGCGCATACAGGATCCTAGTAAAGTCATTAACCTGATTCCACCTTGTCAAAACGAAGAAGCAGCTCGATTTACTCTTCGTGTATCCGGTAGCCCTGATGCTGCTTCCAGGGGTCTTGCTGGCGTAGGCATAGCGTTGAGTCCTAGGGCAGAATTATCTCTCCTAGACTGGATCCCAGTAGATAGTCGTTTGTGCACTGTCCGACTAAATGGGACAGTAAGGACTCGTAAGGATAGGGACACTCGCCGTTGCCTCTTCGTCATATCTGCCTATGCCCCCACTGACTGCAGTGCAGACGAGGTTAAAGATGAGTTTTACAGAAAGCTTTCGGACCTCCTCCAAAAAGCTAAGCGCTCTGACATAGTAATAATGGCTGGTGACTTTAATGCTCAAGTAGGTAGACTAGGTGAAAAGGAAAGACATCTAGGTGGATGTTATGGTGTAGCGACTGAGAGAACAGACAATGGCGACCGTCTGTTGCAACTATGCTCAGATAACCGCCTATTCTTAGCGAACACCAACTTTAGGCATAAGGAAAAGCATCTGTTGACCTGGCGACCTCCAAAGTCGTCTCAACGTTGGACTCAACTAGATCACATCGCCATCAGCCACCGATGGAGGGGTTCGATAGAGGACTGTCGCTCGTTCTGGAGCACATGTTTGGATTCAGATCATGCTCTAGTGCGAGCTCGTATCTGTTTAAGGCTTACTGGACGTAGGAAAGACACCGTAAGAAAGCCTCTCAGGGTTTTACCTAATGATAATCAAACCAAGAAAATATTTCAGGAGCAACTAGAAAGAGAGTTAAGCAACCATGCAAGCGATTCCCATCCAGAAGCAGGTTGGTATGATATCAAAAAGGCTGTGGAAACAGCAGTGATATCTGCTAGGAAGGTAAACCATGAGGCTAGGATGAAGCCGTGGATTTCAGTCGCATCCACCGAACTGTTGGATGCTCGAAAACGCATCCCACCTGACTCTGAGCATGATGAAGAGCGTAGTCAGCTTAGGCGCAGACTTATGAAAAGTCTGCGTAACGACCGCGAACAGTGGTGGGTGGCGAAAGCAAAAGCGATGGAAAAGGCAGCGGCGATCGGCAACACTAGACAACTTTTCCGCCTTATTAAAGAAACCGGTATTAAGAACCCGAATGTAAGTGAGACTATCTCGGAAAAGGATGGTCTTATTATCCATTCTCAATCGAGGAGACTGGATCGATGGGCAGAACACTTTAGGGATCAGTTCAACTGGCCACGAGCCACTCTTCGGTTACCCACGATCTCCAGTCATCCTGAATGGCAAATCGATGTAAGTCCCCCTAGTCTTAATGACGTTGAGAAAGCGTTAGGAAATCTGAAACGAGGACGAGCTGCAGGTCCTGATAGACTGACCCCTGAGATATTTAAGGATGTTGGTCCAGTTTTAGCAGCTAGGTTGACTGAGATCTTAGGTAGAATCTGGGAACTGGACGCAATCCTATCCGACTGGTCTCAATCACTGATTGTCCCAATCTATAAGAAAGGACAAAAGTCTTCTTGTGACAATCACAGGGGAATAAGTCTAACTAATATAGTATCTAAAATATTGGCCTCAATAATACTTCGACGCTTAACGAAAGCTCGTGAAGAGCAGACTAGAG